GGGGGGACTAGCATAGCACTGTGGAGAAAATACCTGGCGGGGAGAGGGAATGGTTATTTACATTTACATAAAGTATACGACCAGCTGAAATCTGCCACTGTCCCGAATTAGGTACTTTCTGTCCTTTACATCTTTAACTAGTGCCCTGAGTTATTCTGGGTTTGGATTTAGACTTAGACCAATGCCCAATGCCGAGTCTCTCTGGTTGCAGGAGACTTGGGAAGGAGGCCTCACACTCTCTGCCCAGGAGCTGATTCCAATTCCCAGGGACCCTATAGGATAAGAAGTGCCCCCATGGGGTTGGGAAGAGACTGAGCTTGGTGGAAAGAGAGGAATCGGGTAATCAGAAATACCTGAAGGAACTCACGGTAGAAGTGGGCCATCCTCTGGGGAGGAGTGCGTGTCTCTGCTCCGTGTACATGAAGTCCTGTTTCATGACCTGCCTCTGTGAAATCTAATTACACCTGTTCCCTCCCTCCTTGAGACTAAGGTGCTGCAATCGTGCCTGGACTCTCAGAGACTTGTTTATGGCTTCCTGTCTCAGGACAAGGTCCCCACTGAAGCCCTCCTGTCCCCTCCCCAGGGGAGCCCAATCATTGGTCAATCTGTCCTCTTTGGACACGCCACAAAATAGTTATGAACCCCCGTTCTAGTTGTTCAAATACATAATCCTTCACCACAGTCAGAGCCTCTCAGTGTGTGTCTTCTCTGGAAGTTGAATTCAGTTGCTTTGACTATAGGCCATCACCATCCCTAACTACACCCTGAGTGCCTGTGGTGTGTTGCTGGTACTGCTGAAATAGGAAGGGATAAAAGGGGTTTGTGCCCCAAGTCCAGGCGAGGGAACTAAAACTTTGCTTCAAAAAGAATGTAGCTAGAGGAGAATTCAGATGAAGGGAACCATAACTTGGTAATAAATCATGGCATCGATAGGCCAGAGAATGAATTCAGATGAATTGCAAACTTCTCACCCAGGTGACTTTAGGGGTGAGTCTAAAATAATTAGATGGGCATTCAAAGGTGGAACTACGTGGATTTGGTTACAGAAGTTCTGAAATGATTTACCGGTAATCATTAAACAGTTCTTGGGAGCACTTTTGTCTTGTGTTTTCTTTGTTGGCAGTAGTGCTTTATTCACTTAATTATTTTACCCGGCCCACTTACCATGGACATTTGGAAGATTCCACAGGCCTCTTCTTCCCAGTGTTAATGGCACTTTGAAGACTGGTGCCATCTATTAGCACCAGAGAGCTTTCGTGAGGGGATAACCAATCTGAGCATATTCAAAATAGAGCTCATCGTGTCGATACCCTTTCATTCTGCTGTCTCTCGTATCCCCATCCCAGCTACATTCATCCCCACACTGCTCTCCCCCCGCTCAGCATCTCACAGCACTCCTCCCATGTCACTGGTGAGGTAGCGCTCATATCTGTTTCCAACACTGAAATCTCATTATTCTGCTTAGGATGTCACTATTTGTAGGGTCCTGGGCTCTCTGAAGGAGCCCTGGTGCGTAGTGGTGACAAGTGGGGCTGGCACCTGCAAGGTCAGCAGTTTGAAACCATTAGCCAGCTGTGCAGAAGGAAGACCAGGCTTTCTGCTCCTGTAATAAGTTGGTTCAGAAACTCAGGGGCAGTTCTACCCTGTTCTATAGGGTCGATATAAGTTGGCATTGAATCAATGGCAGTGAGTTTGGTGCTGGCTTGGGCTATCAGAAGGAGCTCAGCTCGCATAGTGGTTATAACTGCGAGGTGAGCACTTTGAAATGACCAACCCCCAAGGGAGCAAGGGGAGGCTGTCTACTTCCATAAAGATTTACAGTCTCAGAAACCCACAGGGGCAGTCCCCCCACACTGTGGGTGGGAATCAGTGTTATGGCAGTGAGCGTGAGGGAGGGCTATTAGAGATGGAAGAGATACTCGAAATCATTTGGTGCATAGCTTCCACTTTATAGATGCACATTGGAGTTGTCATTCTTCTCCTTAAAATATTTTGATTTTTTTATATAGCGCTCAGGAAAAACGTCTGAAGTGTCTAACTAGGAGTCTACATTGACTCGATGGCAAACCACAGTACCCAGGCACGTCATGACCCATCCTAGGTGGCTGGCACACTAACGGTCTGTGCTCAGCAGTGACCCCGTTGTTGATGGGTCGAACTCCCTTCGAGGCACCCCAGAAGGACAGCCTGGCAATCTGGTTTTACAAAGACCACAGTCAAGAAAACCTAGCAGCAGTTCTAGTCTGTAACAGAAGGTCTCCGCAAGTCAGGATAAGCACCGCGGCAAGTGGTGCTTTGTTGGCCTGGTTGGAACCCTTGAAGAAGACTCCTCAGCACAGGGTCTTCCAGAGTCCTGCGGGAAGGAAGAGCATCCTGGCAGCCAGCATTAATGGTGGAGAGCTCAACATTCGGGATGTACATTTTCACCTGACCCTTCGTTGAATATAGAGACCATGTGTTTTCTTCTCGTTGGCAAGGGGAAGGTGCAAATCGCTGAGTTTCCCAGTGGAGTGTAGAGGAGAGCTGCACTTTTGACGGCTCATCCAGCTGTCTTCCCACGTCTGTCCCCAGAGGGGTTCATACGGCCAATTCTTGAGCTTTGGGGGCAACAGAGAACACGGCTTCTGGCTTAGGCCTCGGCTTTTTTTGGTTTGTTTGTTTCTTCAAAACTAGTTTATTAAAATATTAGGGGACTTCAAAAAAGTTTGTGAAAAAATAGAGTTGGAAGACAATGAATTTTTACATGAACTCTGAAGTGCTCTTATATATTCAGGAGATACACAGTTTGCAAGAATTCAAGTCATTCTTTTTATATGATTAAAGAATGAGGTAAAGAATATTGTGTTGAAAAATATTTTTAAGATTTTCCACTACTTTAAGATAGGCAACAAAAGTTTTAACATGGCTCTACAGCCAAGCAGAGCCTGGTGTCTACTGTTCTCTAGTTTTATTTTCCAACATTTCTCACCCCTACTTCTTGAATGGTATTCACTTTGTGTTTTCTTCATTCACTCATGGCGATTAGTTGTTTCTTAGTAAAGGGCATCCCTTTGTCTAGATCAGGGATCTGCACTTTTGAGATAGAAGAGTTAATCCTGTTGCTTGGCTCTTCTATCTCAAAAGCCTTCAGCTTTTTAAAAGTCTCTGAAGAAGTCAGTTGTTTTCCTTATTCAATTGCTAACTAGCTATTTTCACACCCCCATCCTCTTTCTCCTGATGGCTCCTGCCTTTTAAAATTCTAGTACTATTGTTTTACTTCAGTTTGGGAGAGTAAGGGCTACTACGTTCAGCTTGCTCTCCTTAAGCAGGCTCCCTATGTCTACTTCCACCCACGTTCGCAAGGGGCTTCTGTTTCAGCAGGTTCCTGAAACAGCTCTTGTTAAGGCCACCAGCATCCTCGAGGATGTTAAACACTATGGCCTTATTTAAGTTCTACTCTGACTCAGTCTTTCCCTAACAGCCAACATAA